GATCCACGAAGCTCTGGGCACCCCCTAGTCCCGCAGGTCTCAAATGTTTGAATTTCATTGCCCAGGAAAGTTTCAAAAGAAACTCAGGGGCCTGGCCCATGGCTGCCAAATAAGGATTTTCAAGGAATTGAACTTAAAAAATTAATCCAGAATCAATCTCCACCGTGATCATTTCATAAAAAAAGGACATTTTCACCTTTAAAGAGGAGGAAGCACTTAATCTTGGAAGAAGGACATTCTGATAGGTTGATTACATTCGGCTCAGTGAAGAACATTGTGCATTGTCTGCTTTTACCATCTTGTCCCAGGCTGGCGAGACCTTGTCACAGCCCAGCATCAGGCCCAGGGTCATGTCTTAAGCACTGGCCCTTTACTTGGGAAGCCGTGACTAGATGTTCCAGCCGGTTTTGCTGAGGCTGGAGGACGGAACCAGTGGTTCAGCCCTCAGGAAGGCGCAGCAGGGAGTCCGTGCTGGGTTGGCGCTAGATTAGCAGGGCCGCTATGCAGGGGAACGTGTGTGTTTGGGTTTGCCGTGCCGGGCAGTGGAGCAGTGGAATTTGTCTGAGTTGAGCTCACACATTGAAGTTATTGAGTGACTTACACGCAAGGCCGTGACCTGGACTCCCAGCCGAGAGGCCCACGTGGCGGGGCTTTAGCTGGGGGAGCCGAGGACAGGCTCACATCTGCTCCTCTGCTTACGTAACCCTGCTTCCCAGCTCCCAGAGCCAAGAAAACACACAAGGCCAGCCCAGCAGGGCCGAGGGCCTGTGGTAGCACACGCCATGCGCCGCACAGCAAGGGAGCCCTGGCTCAGCCTGAGGACTGTCATGAAGCCCTCAGCCCTCTGCTTCCTCCCCTTGCCTCTCCCTGAGGCCCCGGCTAGTGGCTCTGAGACCTGGTAGCAGGCTTGTGTGGTTCTGGGCACAGCTGGTCCCTGCCCTCCCGGAGTCCTAGCTCATTGGACTTTCTCACTGTGACAGAGCCAGGCGTGCAGCAGGGGATGGTCCCTTCACTGTGGCAGGAGATGTGCAGGGCATTCGGGAGGCTCCTGGCTAGCACTGGACCCAAGAAGGCATTTGACTCCGGGTCTGGAGCTGCCACTGATGGCCAAGTGCTGTCCAATCCCAGAGAGGTGACCCAGCTGCAGGTTTCTCAGCTGTGGAGGCTTCACAGAGAGAAGGTGTGGAAAGAATTGCCAGACTGGGCAAGGCGGGTAGGATTGGGGGTCAGGGTACTCTGGATGGGTTGGAGACGTGACGAGGGTTGTGAGAGGGGCGTAGAGGAGCAGGAGAGTGAGAACAGGCTGCTCAGTGATGAAGCTCTCCAGGGAGCACTGGAGGAGCACGTCTCTTGGCTAGCCTTGAAGCAGGTTCGAGGCTCAGCCAGGTTCACCTAGGTTCTGCCACATGCTCAGCAGGACCTCCTTGAAGTCTAGAACTGTCCTGTCCATCTCATCACCTCCTCTCCACCCCCTCGAGCTCCCTGGACCTGGCACACAGCTTGGCACACAGTAGGTGCCCAGAAAGTATTGATTGAAACAAATTGAAAGTGGCCTTGACACATACACAGGAAAAATTTGTATTAAACAAACACTTCAGAAAAGACTTGCCTTTGGCATTTGAGTAGGCTCCCATGGATTGTCATTTGCTGTTGACGCCTCCCGTGTGTGAGTGAGTGTGTGTGTGTGCTGGGGTTGGGGGAGGGGGCGGGGGAACAGAAGATGGACCACCCCAGTTATGAGCTCCTGTAATTGGGTGGACAGTGGTGTCAGTTGCTGAGGGACTCTAGAGGGAAAGCTGGTTTGGCCGTAGGTGGTGGTGGTGGAGGGGCTGAGTAACAGTTCACTGGCAGGTTGAGGTCCAGTCCCTGTAATTGACAAATGGGAAACCAGCATCCTCAGAGCCTACTTGCCCAGAGGTCATCAACAAGTCACTGGTGGAGGTGAACCAGGGCTCAGGCATCCTTTCTCCTGTTTAGACCACCTTTCTGGAACTCCTGAAGGGGCAAAACAAAGATGCTTTCCAGCCCGCAGGTGTCTCCTCCGGGCGGGGGGGCAGCTGGGCACACCGAGTGTGAATTCCTGTCTTCCGGGTTGGTTTCAGAAAGTGTGAGCAGGTTGGTAGGGGGACAGTCCAGATGCCTCTTGGGTTCCCGAAAATGGAGTTATGTTTAGCAGCATCTTCAGAACCAAGGGTAGGGTGGGGCTGGGGGGCTGCAGATGTTGTGGGGCCCTCTGAAGTGAGAAGAGCCCAAGGACAGACAGGTCTGTTGAGTTTTTCATGCCTGCACTGTGCAGCAGGGCCTCCTCGAAGCTTTTCCCAGGGTTGGGGAGTCGAACAGCCCAGGCCTGGTGGGCCCTGTGGGGACGGGCGACCTCCATGAAAGCCCTAGGGCTTGTGAGGATGGCTGGTCCGGCTCCCCGTTGTCCACCTTGCCCAATAAGAATCACGTGGGCTCCTGGTTACTCCCCAGGTCCTGCCTAAGATCTGCCCGGGCACACTCTCTGGGGGAGGGGCCTGAGATTCCATGTTTTTACAGTTGCCTCAGGAGATCCTGATGATAGATTGGGGAAAAGCTGCTTTAGGGTGACCCTTTACTTAGTCCTGGAGCACAGCACCTACTGACCTGAGGGCCCCTGGGAGGTTGGAGCTGGGTCAGCAGGCAGTCATGTCAGGGACTGATCTGTGAGGCCTTGTCCCTCCAGGGAGGGGCCAGAGCTTTTGGAGCCCTCGGGGTCCCACTTCTGTCCCAGGCTCTGTGCTAATGAGGAGAGCGGGTAAAGGACAAGCCAGATCGGGGCTTTGATTTTAAGATTCTGGCCTGGCTCCCAGGGCGGAAGTGCCTGATAGAGGAAAGAGGGAAGGGCATTTCCGGCAAACGGAAGCATGTGGACATGGGCCTGGTTTACAGGGGTGGGGGCAGATAGAACAGAGCCTAGTTGCCATGCTTGGAGGTTTGGCCTTACCTTGTCGAAGGCCGCACAGCCTTAGAGCCATCAGAGGTTTTTAGGAGGAAAGTAATGGGATCAGAGCTGTGTCTCAGAAGAAAATAAGCAAATGGGACCAGGTCCCATATGACGGACCTGGGTCAGCATCAGAGGGAGGGGGAAGGTGTGAGGAGTCCTGGTGGGATCAGAGAGGGGAGATGGGGAGGAGATGGCAACTCCGCCTGCTGACAGGTGTCATAGCTTCCTTTTCTCGGGCTGTCTCATTTCAGGAGGGCGGTGATCTCTGGGGACAGGGGTGCTTGCTGAGCCACATATAATCGATAAACAGGGCACAGAGGGCTGCACACTGGGCCTCAGTTCTCGCCCGCCTGTTTCAGGTGAACTTGCTCTGAGTTTGTGGTCAGCATTCTCACCTCTGTTCTCTGGGTTCCTTCCTTTCTTCTTCTTCTTCTTCTTTTTTTTTTTTTTTTTTTTTGAGGAAGATTAGCCCTGAGCTAACATCTGCCACCAATCCTCCTCTTTTTGCTGAGGAATATTGACTCTGAGCTAACATCTGTGCCCATGTTCCTCCACTTTGTATGTGTGACGCCTGCCACAGCATGGCGTGACAAGCAGTGCGTAGGTCCACACCCGGGATCCAAACCGGCGGACCCTGGGCTGCCAAGCAGAATGTGCAAATTTAACTGCTGCACCCTTGGGCTGGTCCCGTTCCTTTCTTTCTTCTCGTGGCTGGTTTGCTTCACAGGTGAAGCTGGCTACATTAGAGTAACAGTTCCCAAAGTGTGCTCCCTGATAAAATGGTTCTGTGGCCAAACAAATTTGGAAAATAGTGGGTTAAATAAAGTGAAGGGGGTTTCCTAACTGTACAGCTTCTCAGCCCCTTCCTGTACGTCATGATTTTCCAGAAGCAGGATTTAGTATGCAGAATTCCCACCCTGATTTGACCAGGGAACATGTTCTTCCATTGGGCATCTTGCTGGGATTACTGTCTCCTGGAACTCACTTTGAGAAAGTCTGGCCTACAAGGGACTACTGAGGACCTGGGTTCGAGTCTTGACGTGTCCACAATTCCCTGTGTGTCCCTGGGCCAGTCATCTTTCCCTGGCCCTCACCGTGTGTGCTGCAGGAGGGTGGTCCCCAGCCTTGGAGGAGTTGGCTTCTCTCAGCTCCACCTGCTTCTACTTAGGAGACAAGGACTTCCATATCCAAATCTGGATCTTGACCTTTGTCCTTCCCTTTGCACCGAACCTGCTGCTAATTCAGAATCCACTATCCAGGTCTCGCTGATTTTTCTTCTAAGCTAAGAGCTCTCTTGCTAACTTATTTCACTCATCTGGAGCCCTGTTCTTCCAGGCCAGAAACCTGGGAGTCATCCCTGATTTCTCCTCCCTTCTTCATCCCCTTTGTTAGTACTTGATCCCCTACTTTTATGAAGTGTTCTTCTTTGATGTTCTTTCCAGCTGTTTCTTCTCTAGGGTCTCCTTTCCTCCAGTCACTCCATCAAGTTTATTTCATCTGTGTATCAAGCCCCTTTCTGAGACATGGGTCCCCCAGGCCACTCCCTGCTGCCGTCTGATTTGAGGCTGATTTTTTCAACACTGACCTCCCCAACACACACACACCCCTCTCCCCCAACTAGGCTTGGACCAGGGAGTACCTGTCCAGGGCCACCCAGCTGGGAGGTGGCAGAACTAGGCCTTACCCTCAGGATTCTGAGAAAGTGCTTTCTCATCCATGCTCTCTGATCCTCACCCCTGCCTGTCAGGAAGTCTGAGCAAGAATTACCCCATTTCTACTTTACAGTTGAGAAACATAGAGGGGAGTGTGTCCTGGGCGGGTGAGTGCTTCCTGGGGTGCCCAGCACTCTGGGTTTGCCCGGCAATGAGGGGTTTCCTGGGATGGTCATGCTACTGCTGGCCATGGTGCCTAGTGCTGGATGTGAGTGCCTCTTCCACTGCCCCACAGCCCCCGGGAGGAGATGTCTCTTGTGGCTTCCGCCTGTGGCCTGGCAAGTTCTGTGGCAGGCTAACTTCTCCTTCCTCCACCTCTCTAGTTGGCCCCATGATGATCGAGTTTAACATGGCTGTGGACCTGAATCGTGTGGCGGAAGAGAACCCGGAGGTGAAGTTGGGTGGCCGCTACACCCCCAAGGACTGCATCTCTCCTCACAAGGTGGCCATCATTATTCCTTTCCGCAATCGGCAGGAACACCTCAAGTACTGGCTCTATTACTTGCACCCGATCCTTCAACGTCAGCAGTTGGACTATGGCATCTATGTTATCAACCAGGTGAGGTCTGGGAAGATGGAGAGAGAGAGGGCGTGTGTGTGTGTGTGCACGCAAATACATGAATAATGAGGGGTGAGGGAAAGGAAGTGATTTCCTCACCCTTTGGCATTTTACAACCCCACCACTACCACCCTCCTTATCTCACAGAGTTCACACGAGCTGAGTGCCATATGAGGTGCTCGCTTGTTGCTGTCAACTCTTTTAGGCAAAGGAAATTGCTGGGGGTTTTGATGCTTGTTTTGTTTTTTTGGAATTAGGCTTCCAACAAAATTGAGAGAAAAATGGCAACCCTAATTCTCCCCAAATAAAGCACCAGTTGTTTCCTGTCTTTGGGCAGCTGTGTATTTTCCTTTTAAGAGATTAAAAACACCCATTTAGCTGTCAGACTTTCAGGTAACTTCAAAATTATCCAGTCTTACTGCATCTTCTGGGGGCACCTGCGGGAGACTGCGTGCTTAGTTCAGACCTGAATGCCAGCCCCCAGCAAAATACCTGGGAGGTCTGACTCATCCACTGCTGAGCATCATGAGGACTGGGCCCGGTCTGAGAAAAGAGAGCTTCTCCCTGCGTGTCTGATCCACGTGTGTTTGGGGCTTAGCCCTGCTTAGGACACTGATGTTGAAGATGTGTCAGCTTTCGTCACTTCATCATGACCTGGAGAATCAGATTGATCTAAGAGCTAGTTTTGGGGAAATAACATTGGTTATTTCCAGTCTGCTTGAGAAGCATTATTATTTATCCAAAAATATAACTTTGGTATTTCCCATTTATCCCAAATACTTTAATTTGTATCTTTAGACTGTGATCTCCTAGGTGCAATGACACATCTAACTTACCTGTGTGCCAAATTTCATTGAAATTCATCTGAAGAGACTGTATGCCCATTTCTAAAAGGCCCAGTGTCCATTTCATTTCAAGACAAATTCTAGATCTGCTTGAGGTAGTGAGCTTGTTGGTAGTTGACAGCTTCTGTCAAAGTTGTGGGACTTTGTGTGCCTTCACTCGGACCAGAAGGGAAGCGGGAAACAGCAATGTGTCCACCAAGCGTTTCTGAGGACTGCTATGGCATGTTGCTACACCAGTTGCTGCAGGGAGATTCTAAATAAGTGTAAGATCCCAGTTCTACCTGTCCAGAAGCTTCCATCCCCACTTATGGCAAGTGGGACCCTTCCAGGAGACAATTTGTTAACAATTCCAAACAGCATGTGATTGGATGGTGGCTGCCAAATGCTTTGGAAGCTCAGAGGGAGGAGAGAGCAATGGCCTGGGGAACCAGGATGTGAGCTAGGCTCTAAAGGCAGGAGGGAGACATGGGCCTCTCAGCTGGGGCCAGTGAATGGGGACTTCAAGGCAGAAAGGAGCCAGCTGGAGGCAGATCGAGATGGCCATTGGGGTGGGAGAGCAGCAGAGCTTGTAGGGCCAGGTGAAGGAGCTGAGTCTGTTAGGCAGGAGAGAGCAGAACAGCCCTGTGATTACAAGGGAACTGAGGCTCAAGGTGGGAGAGCCGGTGAAGAGCAGACCTCTCGAGGCTCTTTGAGTCCCTTGGCCACGTGGCCAAGACCAAGGCCTGGACCAGGGCCCTGAGAAAACCTGCAAGCAAGACAGCGAGACAGTTGTGGCTCGTCTTAGAAGAATGTTGGAGAATGTGAGAGAGAACAGGTAGATGCCCTGCAGAATCCAGGCCACTTCAATCCAACAAGTATTTGTTTAAGAAAAGCCCTGTCCTCAAGGAACACTTGTTTGATGCCAATGAGCACATGTTGATCGTGGCAAGACTCGAGCCCGTTATTAAAGCAGTGGCAGTGAATGCCTGGAAGAGGAAGCCACCATCACCAGGAGCCAGCAGGGATTACAAAGAACAAGTCGTGCCAGCTGCATCTCTTTTCTCTCCTTGACAGTTATCACACCAGTGGATGAGTGATAGACTGTAGACCCAGTGTTGTCACATCTTACTCATCAAGGCAACTGACGGCCTCTGGCAAATCTGCCTGAGAAGAAGATAGACAGCTGTGGTCTGAATGGCATACAAATTAGATTAAAATACATACTTGGGTGAAGAGAGTTAGTGATGATGTCATGTTTTTGAATCTAGGTGACTGTGGTCAAGGGAGACTAGAGGAGAAGGTGCTAATGCATAGATACGTTGTATTTTAGGTCATTGGAAGGCTTCCTTGTTTAATTGTAAAGTCAAAACAAATGTTGGACCAGTGAAAGCCACCATCTTGAATTCCTATGACACGATTTATCTAGATAATTCCCAGGCTTCAAACAACACATTTCCAAATGTCCTATACCAGCTATGTGCTCCTCTCTGCCCCAGTCCAAGCTGGTGGAGAAACTAAACAAGCCAAGATAGACCATTGGCACCGCTGTGCTGGCTAACACTGGACACTGCCTGAGTTTGGGCTTCTCCAAAAATGTGCTTTCCAAGATGGAGATCTGAGGCCAGATGCATTGGAGGAATGCTGGGTTGAACCATGTGAAGTGGGTCCCACTCCTGCAGGGCTGTCAGTGTGCTATTGCGTGCACGTTACAGCCTCCAGAAGTACTCAGCACGCCGTGGGCTTTCTGGAGCTTGTCTGGCTAGAGAACTGTTTGCCATGAACCATCCTAAGTGATGAATGTTCTATGGAATCACACTTTGGGGAAAGCAGGCAGCACCCCCCAACCCTCCTGTTCTCCCTAGGATGCTGAGAACCCCTCATTCTTCCTCCTGCCCCACCTGAAACTTAGCATCGGAAATATTTTAGTTTTAGTTTTTCAAACGTATTTACATCTTTTTTTTCTCTAGTCTTGTCAGTTTCATTCCCTCCCCACCCAATCCACATTTTTTTGCCTCTTCATCTTTTCCTTCTCTTCCGAGGGTTAACTTTCCACCTCAGGAGAATCTTTCCCCTTTATCTCCCTCTCTGCTGGTTAACCTTGTTTCTTTTGCTCCAGCTCCACCCTGATTATTTCTTCGGGAAAGTATGGTCTGGCTTTCGGATAACCAAGTCAAAAAGAAACTTGAACTCTGCCCCACCTTTCTGGTAAAGGATAGTATCTGTTTGATAGCTATAAAGAACATGTAATAAAGTGATGACAGGAAACGTAAGAGGTGGAAGGAGAAACACTGGGAGTACGCCCATTTCCAATTTAGGAATGTCCCGTGTCCTCTGTTTCATTACTATGCTGTGAAGACAAAGAAAGGGAGTTCGTAGCATCTGGCTTTGACCTTTGTGTACTGTTCGTTGAGTAGCAGGCATCGTTAGAGCCTCTCAGCGTCACCCTGCTGTCATTTTGAGTCTTCCTTTGTCAGCCCACCCCATTTAAGATGAGAGAGAAAGATGCTTAAAATAGGAGGGGCCTCGAAGACATCTAGTCCAGGGGTTCTCAAACAGGGTTTTAAGAACCGAACCTCCTTCTGCCCCGTTAAAATGCTACACAAACCCCATCTACAGCGGGTCACAGTGGTGCTGTTCTACTTGAAGGGGGGCCTTGTCCCATCTCCACCCCCTGACTTCCCTCCTTCACTCTTGGCTGGAATTTGCCTGGACCCCTGAGGCCAGATAGTGCTAGAACGTCTCCTCTGCTTCACTGGTGAGGAAACTGAGGCTTAGTGAGGGGAAGGGACCGGGAGAGAGTCACATAAGTAACCGTAGGGCTGCAGCTCAGACTCCTCCCGCTGCATCAGCGGTAACTCTCCTCAAGGCCAGCCAGTCGCCTCTAAGAGTGTTTCCCAAAGCCAGTATCCAGGGCGGGGTTCTGGCTCTGCCACTTCCCAGCTTGGTGACCTTAGACTTGAGTTCCCCAGACTTTGATGGTTTCCTTGTGGGCAGGAGAGCAAGGTGTTAGTACTTACTGCATGGGGCTTTAAGCACCTGGCATGCGGAGAGCCCTCAGTAAACATCAGGTGTTACTGTTGATTTGAGCACCCCCCACCCCATTCCTCCTGCCTGTTTCCGCCGCCCACTGCTGTGGTGAGACACTCTTTATTGCTCTCCCTGCCTCCTGCTTCCCTCACTCGGTACCAGCGCCGAGACCCTCTCTCGCATGTGTGTGGCCTCTGTGGGGTCAGAGGAGAGTGGATAATGACACAGAACAGAACCGTCAGGTGACAGAATCTCAGGGGATGTAGGGACTTGTCAGGCTACGAGCTTCTTCAGAGTAGGGTCGTGTCTGAAGCCCCACACAGGGCTGAGCTCTCACGGGCTTTTGTGGCTTCTGCCCCTGCCCTTATTAAGCTGTTAGCCCGCTCCATTCACCAAAACAACTTAGGTCTCACGATAAGTGGGAGTGGGGAGGCTTCCCAGGTACGATGGAGAACAACAGCATTGCTGTGTGTCCTCGGAACTCCACCCTACTCCTGCCCCACCCCCCCGGTGTTTGAGAATCCCAATAGGGTTCCAGCACGTCCAGCGTCTTGGAGCCAAAGGTGCTTCTCTGAGGCACAGTTGTCCTACCCGAGGGCCAGCACTGGGACCCTGGTGCCAAGGTGGATATCATAGCAGGTTGGCAGGTGCACGCGGCACTTCCTCATACTTTAACCAGGAAAGGAAACTTAAAACCACCCAAGGTGAAGGGAAGGCAGGTTGCCGCCTGGCAGCATTAGCCCTAAATAAGAAATACAGGATGGTTGTGTGATTAACCGTCATAAAAGTTACCTAACGGGTGAGGAATGCAGGCCCAGTTGGCCAGGTGGGTTTGTAATAACCTTGGCAGCCCTTTGCCCCAGAGGAAGCACCCAGGACTGGTCTCTCCGATTCTGTTTGTGTGTCCTCTGACGCCTTTCTAATCCTGTCCATGTCATGCCCTCTCTTTACACCCTTTAGTATGTCCCCACCACCCACAGGCAAGGGTCTGAAGGGTCTGAGGCCCTGAGCTCAGCATCTAAGCCCCTCTGCAGTCCAGCCCTGCCCTACCTCCAGCCGCTTCCTCCTCAGGCCCCCTTCACACCCTTCATGCCACAGCCACACTGGAGTCTCTGTCTGCACCCAGACACACTCTCGGCCTCCTGCAGC